TGATTGCTTCAGAAATCGACTGATATGATTTTAAAGCATTATACTACATAGGTACGTCTTATCATATTTTAAAGTTTTGGAGATCGAGATGAGATGGAGACGAGAAACTCTGTATATTTAACTTTTCCATTTCTCGGTTTAAATTGTTAAATATCACACCTTAGTTTTAAGCTTTTGTTGACACTAATAACATAAAATTACCCAACTGTCATCTTTATCCCAACCAAAATTTTGATTTTATAGGTGGGCTATACTTTAAACAGCATAATATTTTGAATATTGGTTATAATATTTTTATGATTTTTCTAGTACTTACTAGATTTTTCTGGCAATAAATTTTGTTTAACACCAAAGAAAATCCTTTTTTTCTTCTTTAACATTAACAGCCGCTTATTGTAAATAAGTAAATTAAGGACAGCATGGCGAATCGATTTTGACATTAACTGTCAAATCAATGACTGTGATACCAACTATCTAAAGTAAAATTCGACCAAATTAAATTAAATTTTTTTTTATAGAATTTTTGCAAAATTGATAAAATAGCATAAAGAACTCATGTCATAAGACCTTTTGTCGCACTCGTCTATTACAAAACTTGGTCCTTCTTCGCTCGTTTTATAAATGGTCCGCGTGCGACAAAATGACGTCTTATGACATTAGTTCTTTAATATACTATTATATACGACGAACAGAAAAAAGAATTTAAAGCAAATTTTAATTCATAAATATTTGACATTTGACGAATTTAACCTCACTTTTTTTCAAGTTATAATAAAGCCAACTTCCCGTGACTAAAACGCGATAAAGTCAATGCTTGAGAATATAGGAGTAGGTACAATTGATTTTAGCTTAAACTACTTCTGGCAAAAATCTTGTTATTTTTCTTAATTTTAAAGCTGATACTAATATTCACATAATTATAGACGTGAAGGTTAGTTTTTATTAACCACCCAATTGGTGATAAACCAGTTCAATTATTATAAATCCCATCCAACCTGTTCCAAATTAATGTATTCATTGATAAATACTTTGAAGGGTTTAAACGAGCAGTAGAATAAACACTTTTATCATCAATCCATAAAATATATACAGGGTGAAAACCTAAACTAAAGTAAAACCTTGAAAATAACTTCTTTTTTTAATTCCATAAACACGTCAACTTTAATTTTGTATGGCTAAATTATGATAAAACTTTTATAAAAAAATCATAGAAGCAAAATATTTCACTTCTTAACAGAAGCATTTTATTTAACCATAAACATTAAAGTTTGTAGTATTTTTTCGACATTTTTTGATTTTGGAGATCACATAAAAAATAGGTTTGAAGTAGGGTAAACCACATAGTTATTGGACACTTAAATATGAGGCGCCGTTTGTGTCAAAATTAAAAGTGCTAAATAAACTTATTTTGTTTTATAAATAATTAATTATATGCTTTATAAAATTATTATTACTTTTGATTCGCAGAAAATTATTTTATAAAAAAATAATTTTATAAAAAAAAAATATTTTATAAAAAAATTATTTTATAAAAAAGTAATTTTATTAAAAAAAATTATTTTATAAAAAAAAATTATTTTATAAAAAAATTATTTTATTAAAAAAAATTATTTTATAAAAAAAAATTATTTTATAAAAGACGACGGGCGCATTTATAAATTAATTTTTACTGCAGCCATCTCTCTTTGTTTGTAGACACTCGAGTAAACCCGAGTGAACCCGAACGCCCTTCCCCAGATACAATTTTATGACGGACTCGGCTTTTGTTTGACGCAATTTGGGGAAACGATTGAAAATAATAATTTATTATTTTTATTAATTGATTAATTCATTTTTTTATCTACATTTATTTTGATTTTTAGTTTTTAACAAGAATTCTTTATGTTTAAACGTTTTTTATAAGAAAGCACTTTAGTTAAATGCAAAACAAATAATGATTTACACCTTTATCTAATAATTAACTGTTAAAATTGATTACCTTACATTTTAAATATCTAAATTTTTAAAAGTAAATTAACTTAACCTTTAATTCGACACCTGAGTCCCCGGGACTCGCATGCGAATTTTGTTGGCGCCTAAAGCCTAATTTAAAGATTGCTTTCCTCCTTTCTCCCTTCCTCCCGTAAAAGATGAAAAATACGATCCCCGTAGTGCTGTTTATAGATTTTAACAGTTAATTATTAGTTAAAGGTGTAAATCATTATTTGTTTTGCATTTAACTAGAAGTGCTTTCTTATAAAAAAAGCATATAGGTACGTATAATTATAGGTATATGAAAAAACGTTTAAACATAAAGAATCTAAAAATCAAAATAAATGTAGATGAAAAAATTAATTAATTAATTAATAAAAATAATAAATTATTATTTTCAATCGTTTCCCCAAATTGTGTTAAACAAAAGCCCAGTCCGTCATAAAATTGTATCTGGAAAGGGGCGTTCGGGTTCACTCGGGTTTCCTCGAGTGTCTACAAACAGCAGTAAAAATTAATTTATAAATGCACCCGTGGTCTTTTATAAAATAATTTTTTTTATAAAATTATTTTTTTATAAAATAATTTTTTTTTATAAAATTATTTTTTTTTATAAATAATAATAATTTTTTTTATAAAATTATTTTTTTATAAAATTATTTTTTTATAAAATAATTTTTTTTTATAAAATAATATTTTTTTATAAAATTACTTTTTTATAAAATAATTATTTTTTTATAAATAATTTTCTGCGAATCAAAAGTAATAATAATTTTATAAAGCATATAATTAATTATTTATAAAACAAAATATGTTTATTTAGCACTTTTAATTTTGACACAAACGGCGCCTCATACTTAAAGAATACTATTTATTTAAAATTTATATATGCCGTTGTTTTAGATTTTAGTTTTTTTCTTATAAATATATAAAAAGGATAGTTTGTTTGTTTAAACTTTTTTTACGTTTACTTAAAAATAAGAATATTTGAATTTTTAATATTAGTTTTACTTATAAAAACATTGAAAAAAGTATAGTAATTTGACATTTTATAATATATGGACACATGGACCATTATGCGTTATTGGACATACAATTTTTATATAAACATAACAACTTTACATCAAATAACATAAATTGTTAAATATTTTTTAAAGATAAATTGCTGTTTTAGGTAATTTTTTTCATTTCGTTTTTGTAAATATCATATAGTTCATATATTTCTTTCTCGGATTCCTCATCCCTTTTCTGGATTCTAAAGGTAACTATTAATTCCTTGTCTGACTTCTGAAATAGTTTGTTGCAAATATCTCTAGTTTGTAAAGCATTTATAATGTTTAGGCCGGAACAGGATGATTTATATATATCTAATATTTTTTCGGATGGCATTTTAAAAGTATTTTCCGAATTTATTAATTTTGTGGCCATTAGTTTTTTATGTTCTCTATCATGCACTGTACTTAAATCACTGTTATTCTGCAAGATGTCCTTTGACGAAGAAATCACTATATTACTTACTAAAAATTAATTAGTCAAAAATGTCATAGCGAAAAAGCAGCCACTAATAATTCTCGTCAAAAGTTATAAAAGTAGAACAGTTTTTGAAATATAATCAATTTTACATATAATATGGAAATCTCAAAAACTGCTTAACTTTTATAGTTTTTCGGATTCAGGGGACTTTACCCTATCTAAGTTTTTCTCAAAATCTTTGGTTTCTCACTATTATTTTTGTAGGTCGTATAGGACCATAATATAATTTTAAGTCAAAATAGTATTATTTGCTCGCTCAATTTAATTTAATTTTAGTTTTTTGCAATACAGTATCTTGCTTTTCAGATTTACGTTTTTTAGTCTGTATTCCTTAAAAACCGCTCAATTTCTTAGGTAAACTTATGTTAATCAATTTAATATAACAGACTAAATGGAAAAACATTAAAAAAACTGCGCATGTCATTAGTACCTATTTTTACTGGTGTCACTTTACTTTACTCTGCTAATGAAATTATTATTTAATTAAGTATACTATTTTTTATGTTTAATTGGCTAATACCTTTACTGTATAGTTTTAAACTAATAATCGTAGTGTAAAAAAATATTCTTATATTAAAAACCTTTACGCCCACATCGGTGGAAAGAATCAGTTTCTGCAAAGTTTATGTACTATGCATAATAATAATACTCTGGCATTGTAGCCATAGTATTATTATTTATGCACGGTACACAGGTTGTAATTTAAATAATCTTTTTATTAAAACTGATTAATACAGTAGTTCTTATTATTACAAAAAAACTCTTCTGGTTGTTGTAAAAAAAATGTACAAGCTAAAAAATTTGCGCCCCTGAATTTCTTTTAGTATTTTGTCAAGAACTAGAGGAGTTAATTTCTTAAAATGTACTTAAATAAGCATATATTTAGTGTCAATAAACTAAAAAGTATTTAATCAAAAATAAATATCTATAAAATTGGAACTAATTAATATTTCGACTGGATAAAGTTGTTTATTACTGCTTTATTGATTAAGTTATAAATTAAAATTTAATGGTCCACATAAAATTTAAACCTTTCAAATGTTATTTACTGTTTGCAGTAAATACAATCAACATTTGTCACTTAACACTCCATTGTAATTTATAAATTCCTATAAGATTAAGCAAAATACGTGTTTGGTAAACATTTGGTAAAAATTTTACAAAGATAAGTTACCAAGGCTTTTAAAATTCAATTAAAAATCCATAAAAATATAGAGGTTAAAACCCTTTTCAGATTATTTACACAAAAGCGTGCCTAATTTAATAATTCAAAAAATTAAATTAAAAAATCGATTTTATTGTCTGTTTTACCCTATATATACATACTGTCATTATGAGAACAGAGACCACATAATAATAATAAACATAATAAATAATAAACTTATATTAATAAAAAACTAAATAAAAACACTATAATTAGCTACAGCTTAAGCATAAAAATAAGGAATCTAAAGGTCCCTCAATCGTGAGAAAAATAACTTATGTTAATTTTCAAAATGCAGGTATAATTAAATTGGCAACTATCGTGTAGGCAATACCATCCTAATAAAACGAAAACATGCTGATCGGAATTTAAATTTCGAAAAGCATTGTCACCATTGAATATCTTGGTCAATGGGACTCACGTACTCAGTGTTTTAAGGATGACTGTCACTTGTTATGACAGTTTTCGGCGGGCAACGTGATTGATTGTTGATGTTGTTCTCTTGTTTCAGCAGGATTCAAGACTGACGAGTTATAAATAAAGAAAAGAACCCTTAGCATTAATGTATAAGTTGCATTAGAGTTGCACCAACATAATGGACTGGCACATATCCGTAAGTGAAATTAAAATTACGTTTTTACTTTTAAATGATTGGTTTATAGTACTTTTAAATCCTCAATTGTTTATTTATTGTTAGGATGTTATTAGTCACCTTGTTTATTTATCTTTTCAATTTAGGTATCAATTTAAATTTGTAGATCATCCTGCTGTTCTAAAATCTTTATAAGTCCAACCAAAAATGTTGTTAAAAGATAAAAAATAAATCTAGATAAATGACAACACTCGGGGATATAATATATTAGCATATTTTTATTGCTGATATTCAAGTTCAACGTTATTTAAATTATTTAAATAAGCTATTTTTGTCCTACTAAATTATTTGAAGTTGTAACACCCGAAGGCATATTCAATTAGTAATTTAGTTTATTAAATTTAAGACTAAACGGTTTTTTGTTAAACAAAATGATGAATGATGCCTTTTATTTTAAAATTATGTAGCAATTATGTAGAAATTTGAATATTATTCTGTTTACTTAACGCTTTTAACCTTTTGGAAAATGGAAAATTATGCTAATTTTGCTTTTAAAAATAATGAATTACTTTTGGGAGCTTATACATACATTACACTATTTCTCAATTAAAATTTTAACAAAAGAAATATTTTTTACATGTTTTTAAATGTTCGCTATCTTAACAAATCTTGTATCGTTATTTAAATCATAAGTGATATTCACAAATATTTCTATGCATATATGATGCCTACTTATGTCCAAAAGCTATTGCAAATTTAAAAGGTATGGTTGGATCATATTGTCTGATTTAAATTATTCTTATTTTGTTTTTTTAATTCTTCATAAAGAGCAATACCCTTTAAACTATTTAAAAAATAACACTGATCAACATTATAAAGTTGTTCCATTTAAAAATTATGCTTTCAACAATGCCAATTTTTAAAGTTAACTGTACTGTCACACGTCCTGTGTAATGTTTTCTTTTTCAGTTAAGTGCCCTCCTCCTCTTTCTTTTAATATCTCAAACAGAAGAAAGGGCGACAAAAACCAAGAAGTCTCAAAGCATCACTTCACCATTTGTGCCAACTTTTAGAAGAGATTCTGTGGAAAGTATTCCAGATATCGTTTATACTTTAGACAGAAGTTCTTCCTACAAATCAGGGCAATCTTTGCCCTTCAGATCGGCTGTCGAAAATATACCAGACCCGTAAGTAATTTTACATATTCTAGTCACGAACTTAGGCATTTGATTAACTTATGAGTAATATTTTATTAAAAGGTTAGATCTATTAAATCTTGAACCACAAAAACTATTTATGATGGAAATTGTACGGTTGTCAACCATTCTATTAAATCCTATAAATATTGAGCTTTACTATATTATTAAAAATATGTTGTATACATTATCATAAATTTTACTACTAAGTAATAATTTAACCATGTAATAGGCGTCATCTTATTTAACCGAACATATGATTACTTGTATAGAATCGTTTCACATGAACACTTAACACATTCTTCTCCTTAGAATCGAAACGAGTAAAAGATTGCCACTAAGAGACGCTGTGGAAAGAAGGCCTCCACCAGACGAAGCCTTCGACCCTGAGGTGGATAAGGAACCCATCGACAATGAGCTGGTAACCAGTAAGAACCCGCTGGAACAGTATGGGATCTATGCAGGCATACCACCGTACCAAAATGGGTACCCTTATAATCTACTACCCAATGGCGTCATCAGTCAAAATTTGCCTATCCAGCAGGCTATCCAAAAAACTTTTTACTCGCCCGTACAAGTCTTTAGGAATATCATAGGAGATTATAGACAAGCTGCCCCATATAGAGTCGACAATCATTACCAACAACTGTACACGCATAGGGATATACCACGAGGTGCTAGGAGTTTGTACCCCAGCAATCCTTATTTTAGAAATGGACTTCAAAACGAGGATAGTGAAGGAGAAAAAAGGATTGTATGTTATATACAAGGCGCGGCGGCCTATAGAAAAGAACCTCTAGCCTTCAAAGCTGAAGACTTGGATCCATTTGCCTGTACTCACGTGATTTATGCGTTCGCTTCGATCGATCCACATTCCTTCAGCATGATTTCCAATGATGATGAATTTGATATTGTCCAAGGTACATATTTAAACACTTACTTTTATTTTTTGAAAGTTCCTGGAGTGACATCATCTAAAATTGTTTAATTCATTATTCACTATTCATTATTAACTTGATAACGATTGCAGACCTACTAGCAATTGAAGCGTCGTGTTAATAAACAATTTTAAATGATGTCAGTCCAGGAAGTTTAAAAAAATATGAAACCATTATGTACAAATTTCAAAAACTTACTTTTATTATTATAAATGGTTAATCTTTTCAGGTGGTTATAGAGCCGTCTCAGGCCTTAAACGTCAAAATCCAAAACTGAAGGTTCTGATTTCGGTTGGCGAGGCACGTGAAGATAGATCCAACAGGTTCACCAACATGGTATCGAGTGCGGGCAGGCGACGTGATTTTATCCGATCCGTGATTCACTTCATGGAGAACTACGATTTCGATGGGTTAGACATAGCCTGGCAATATCCCGGCGCCGAGGAGCTAGGCGGTCACATAACCGACAAGGAATATCTCGGGTTATTCTTGGAGGAGCTTTCCGAGATTTTCGTGCCTCGCGGTTGGTTGTTGACACTGTTGGTGCCCGCTAACAGATTCAGGATTGGTGATGGTTACGTCCCCGCCGAATTGGCCAACTTGATTGATTTCGTAAACTTGCAAGCCTACGATTTTCATAAGGACAGAGAACCAGTTGCTGATCACCATGCGAATTTGTCACCGAGACCTGATGATAGCGGTCTTAACATTTTCAATAGCGTTGACTACGCGGTTAACTTCTGGTTGAAGAAAGGCCTACCTAGATCCAAATTGGTTGTTGGTCTTCCATTTTATGGTAGAACATTTACACTTCAGAATGCCAACGATACAGATATAGGCGCACCAATAAGAGGACCGGGACGTGAAGGATTTTACACTCAACACCCAGGATTGTTGGCTTACTTTGAAATTTGCGATTTAATAATCAACGAAGGCTGGTATAAGACCAACGACGAATCAGGCGCCCCCTACGCCGTTAACGGTGATCAGTGGGTCGGTTTTGATGATCCAGAGAGCCTTGAAAGGAAGGTTAATTACGTGAAACAAAATCAACTTGGAGGCGTGTCAATATGGACTACCGATATGGACGACTTTAAAGGATTGTGTGGCGAAAAATGGCCTCTCTTGAATACAGTAAATAAATTCTTTAAAGGGCCCGAATACCCAACATTACACGCAGATTTAAACCCACCAACTAAACCATATGGTACTTGTAAACACAATGGTTTTTACAGCGATCCCAGAAACTGCGGGGCTTACTACGTGTGCAAAAATAGACTAAGCTATCATCTTTCTTGTGGCGACAAAATGATGTTTGATCCAGCTACAGGCAAATGTGACTACATCAGCATAGACAAATGTAGCCCAGGACACGCAGTATACATTCCAAACAGTTTAAAGGAAATTGAAGTATCCCTTTCGAACTCCCTATCACGTATCGAGGTTTCTAAATCCGCTGGACCTAAAGTTGTTTGTTACATGACTAACTGGTCGTTCTATAGAAAAGGGGAAGGCAAATTCGTACCTGAACATATCGACCAAACTCTTTGTACTCACGTAGTTTACGCTTTCTCAAGTTTGGATCCAGAAAAGTTGTTGTTGAAAGAGTTTGATCCATGGGCAGATTTAGATAACAGTAAGTTAAACATAGAATACGTTAAATATGTTACATGTTTAAATTATTTTTCCAGATTTATATGAAAGAGTGACAGCCCTGCAAGACACTAAAGTTCTTCTTTCGTTGGGTGGATGGACTGATTCAGCAGGAGACAAATACTCGCGCTTGGTAAGCGATGGATCTGCTAGGAGAAGATTTGTAGTGGGAGTTGTGGGATTTTTACGTAGACATGGTTTCCAAGGTCTTCACTTTGATTGGAATTACCCAGTCTGCTGGCAAAGCAACTGCAAAAAGGGACCTGCATCTGATAAACCAAACTTCACCAAACTGGTTCAGGAACTTCGTCAGGAATTCAATAGACAAAGTCCAAGACTGATTCTTGCAGCTGCTATTTCTGGTTATAAAGAAGTAATCGATGTTTCATATGATTTACCAATGTTGGGCCAATCCTTGGACTTTATATCTGTGATGACATACGACTACCATGGCGCTTGGGAAAGGCAAACTGGACATGTAAGTCCACTTTATGGGCAACCTGGAGATAAATATCTGCAATACAATACCAACTACACAATGCAGTATCTTCTTGCTAAGGGAGCCCCAAGGGAAAAATTAATAATGGGTGTTCCATTCTACGGACAAACGTTCACTCTATCAAAACCAAATAACTACGGAGTTGGTATTCCTTCTGCCGGACCTGGTGAAGCAGGCGAGTTTACTAAGCAACCCGGAATGTTGGCCTACTACGAAATCTGTAGCAGAATCAGAAACAACAGGTGGATCGTTAACAGAGACCCAACAGGACCTTTCGCGCATGCTAGAGAGCAATGGGTTGGATTTGAAGACGTTAATTCCGTTAAAGTAAAGGCTGACTATATTAAAACCAATGGATTTGGAGGTGCTGTAGCTTGGACTATTGACTTGGACGATTTTTCTAATCGTTGTTGCGAAGGAACCTTCCCCTTGTTACGAGGATTGAATGAAGCTTTAGGTAGAGTATCGCATGTACCTCATCACGGCGATTGCACCAAACCTCCAGAACCATCCACACCGGCACCACCGCAAACTACAACTGGTGTGGACTCTGGAGCTAGTAGTTCTGAACATCACCATGGAGAATGGACTACGGAAGCAACCAAGCCCACAACTACAAAACCTTGGTGGACTACCACCACCAGACGTCCTACCAAACCCACCACCACAAGTCCTTGGTGGACAAGTACTTCAACCACTACTACTACTACTACAAGTACGACAACAAGGAGACCTACAACCACTTCTGCCCCATACAGGCCCCCATCCACTACTCCCCCAATATGGGAAAGACCTCCAGGCACAACAATTCCTCCTCCAGCTGTTATTATGCCAGAAGTCGACAAACCAATGCAGCAATGCGAACCTGGGCAGTATCTACCTGACAAACAAAACTGCAACGCTTTCTACAGATGCGTCCTTGGCGAACTTAGAAAACAATACTGCGCAGGAGGTTTACACTGGAATCGAGAAAAAAATATCTGCGATTGGCCGTTGGAAGCTAAATGTCGCGAAGAAATGCGTAAGTTAAGTCCTTATTTTAAACTATACATTCTAAAAACGTGCGATTGTTTTTCAGCATCATACGTACCAACAACAACAACCACTCAAAGACCAACAACATGGCAGAGCTGGCAGACAAAACCAACACAATCCAACTATCCAACTACCAGTTCAACTGAAAAAGCTCCAGGCATATCCCAATTGGTTGAAGAAACCTGTAACACCGGTCAATACTACCCACACGAGTCCTGTACGAATTTCTATGTTTGCGTCAACAACAATTTGGTAGGGCAAAGTTGCGCTCCGGGTCTTAGCTGGAATGCTGAAGTAGGAATATGTGATTGGACTTACAGGGTTAAGTGTCTTGGAAGGAAGAGATTGGCTGAGAAGTATACTTATAATTTGATTAAAGGCAGTAAGTAAAAATGTTTATTAAGTTATTGATGGCAAATTAAAAATTGTTGTTTTTTAGGTCCACAACCATATTCTTCGTGTACCGAAGGAAGCTTTGCTGGTATGTCTGGTGATTGTAACCAATACATGCATTGCTTATGGGGTAAATATGAAGTATATCAATGTGCACCTGGACTACACTGGAATAATGTAATTAACATGAAAAATTAAACAACCATATACCAATTAAAACATTTTAGGACAAGCATATCTGTGATTGGCCTGCCATTTCAAAATGTAAAGACAACAGTGTAGAAGGTTCAAATCCAAGCTATGATCCAGTGGCGCCAACTTACAAACCACCAACCACCACACCGGAAACAACAACCAATTGGGAATGGAAACCGGAAAGTACCACTCAGTGGAAACCACCGAGCACAACTGAAAGCACTGGCGGTGCTTGGGAATGGCATCCACCAATTCCACCGACTTCGGAACAACCACCACTGTCTGAAGAATTAAAACCGCAATCTGGGTACTTCAAAGTTGTTTGCTACTTTACCAATTGGGCTTGGTACAGAAAGGGTCTTGGTAAATATTTGCCAGAAGATATCCATCCCGACTTGTGTACTCATATTGTTTACGGATTTGCTGTGCTCGACTTTGAAAACCTGGTCATCAAGGCTCACGATTCTTGGGCTGATTTTGACAACCGTAAGTAACATACTCTTCAATAATACTATTATACATAAGTTTTGTATTTTTAGAATTCTACAAAAGAGTTGTTGCATTTAAAGAAAAGGGCGTTAAGGTTTCTATTGCTATTGGTGGATGGAATGATTCGCAAGGAGATAAATACTCACGTTTGGTCAACAATCCAGCTGCTAGAGCTAGATTTATCACCAATATTTTGGCGTTCTTGGAAAAACACAACTTTGACGGTCTTGATTTGGATTGGGAATATCCAAAATGTTGGCAGGTTGATTGTAAAAAAGGTCCTGATTCCGACAAAGAATCATTTGCCGCCTTTGTGACAGAACTTAAGACAGCCTTTAGACCTAAGGGATACCTTCTATCAGCTGCTACATCTCCAAGTAAAACTGTTATTGATGCCGGATACAATGTACCAGTCTTGGCTGAGAATTTGGATTGGGTTGCTGTTATGACATACGACTTCCACGGACAATGGGATAAACAAACTGGTCACGTAGCACCTCTTTACTATCATCCAGATGATTCCGTGGCATTCTACAACACGGTAAGAATTGCAGCTGACCATATATTAAAACATTACCTAATATTATAATTTTAGAACTACTCTATTAACTACTGGATATCTGAAGGTGTTCCACGAAGGAAGATCGTCATGGGTATGCCACTGTACGGTCAATCATTTATGTTGGGTGACGAAGCCAACAACGGTCTTAACGCACCTGCTCCAGGTCCCGGTGAAGCCGGTGAATTCACAAGGGCTGCTGGTTTCTTGGCTTACTACGAAATTTGCGACAACATCAAGAACAAGGGATGGACTGTTGTAAAAGATCCTGAGAGGAGACTTGGACCCTACGCTTACAAGGGCAACCAGTGGGTATCATTCGATGATCAAGAGATGATAAGAATTAAGTCAGAGTACATCAGGAAGATGGACCTTGGTGGCGGTATGATATGGGCTTTGGATTTGGACGACTTCAAAAATAGATGCGGTGAAGGAAGACATCCCTTGCTGACAGTTATCAGAAACGTCCTGGCTGATCCTGGTACAGGTACTGCTATGGTACCACAGGCACCAATTAAACCATCAAGTCCACAACCTATTGTTGAAGCTGAACACCAGGAATTGAACCAGGAAAGCTTAGAGCACCCAGATAATGATATTTTCGATCAAAACGACTCTGAGTACAAGGTTGTTTGTTACTTTAGCAACTGGTCTTGGCTAAGACAAGGTTCCGGGAAATACTATCCAAACAATGTTGATCCGGAATTGTGTACCCATATTGTTTACGCTACAGCGGTGTTGGATAAGGAACAACTCATTATTAAACCTTTAGATACATGGACCGATATTGAAAACAGTGAGTAAACTACTTATGATACTATTTTTGAATTCTAACTTTATGTTTTATTTAGAATTCTACGAAAAGATCACTGAATTCAGATCTAAGGGCATCAAAGTACTTCTATCCATCGGAGGTTTCGCTGATTCTTCAATGGACAAATACTCAAGACTCGTTCACAATCATTCGTCAAGAAGAAAGTTCATTACCCACGCTGGCGATTTCCTTAGAAACAACAATTTCGACGGTCTCGATGTAAACTGGCAATATCCAAAATGCTGGCAATCAGATTGCAGTAAAGGCCCCGACTCCGACAAAGAGGCATTCAGCGATTTTATAAGAGAATTGAGTACTTCATTTAGACCTAAGGGTTTGCTGTTATCTGCATCGATATCGCCAAGCACCAAGGTGATTGCCGAGGCATACGAGTTACCTGAACTCACGAAGTATGTGTCTTGGTTGCATTTGATGACCAAAGATTTCCATGGCGAATGGGAGGAATCCACCGGACATGTGGCGCCTATGTATGCCAGACCTGAGGATGATGATCCAACATACAATGCTGTAAGTTTACTTATTTGACTGAATTATGTCTTTACTGCACATTTTTTCTTTAGAATTATTCTGTTAACTACCTAATTGATAATGGTGTCGATAGAAGAAAGTTGATCATGGGCATTCCCTTGTATGGTAACTCGTTTACGTTGGCTGATCCAAATCAGCATGGTTTGTATGCTGCTACAGTGGGAAGTGGGGAAGCTGGTGATCAGACCAAGACAAGAGGATTTTTGGCTTACTATGAAGTAATATTTATACTTTTAAAACTTGTTATAATACCCTTAACCTGAATTCTTTTAGATCTGTAACAACATTCTAAAGAAAGAATGGAGTGTCGTAAGAGACCGTAAGGGACGCGTGGGACCATATGCTTACAAAGGAAACCAATGGGTAGGGTTCGATGATATTGGTATGATAAGGCACAAATCCGAGTACATTAAAGCAATGGGACTCGGTGGTGGTGTTGTTTGGGCTTTGGATCTTGACGACTTTAAAAATGAATGTGGTTGCGAAAAATACCCCCTCCTTAGAACAGTCAACAGAGTACTAAGAAATTACGCCAAACCTGCACCTAAATGTGTTTTGGGCAGACCTCAAAAGAAACCTTCAACTATGTCACCACTAATCACAACACCTGTTACCATATCACCAGCAAACTACAATCCAAGCTTTGTGGTAGTACCACTAAACGAAACCAGCTGCGTTGGAAAATTGTTTATGCCTTCAGACAAATGCAATGAATACTACGTGTGTAACCAAGGACAACTCTTGTTGCAATCTTGTCCAGGCGGATTATTCTGGAGCAGGGATCATTGCGATTGGCCGGAAAATACCGCATGCCATCCAGATGTTACAACTCCCGAACCGGTTATAGATCCTGTAATGGAAGTTACAACATCTAAACCGATTTACCGCCCACCTATAACACCACCATCGGTACCTGGAACTTCAAGTCCACCAGGAGATTACAAAGTTGTTTGCTACTTTACAAACTGGGCCTGGTATAGGTAAGTTTTAAAATTACTTGTGAAAGAATTGATTAAATTAAAATAAATTGTTTTAGACAAGGTGATGGCAAATATTTGCCTTCTGACATAGATGCTTCCTTATGTACACATATTGCTTATGGGTTTGCTGTATTAGATGCTAACACTTTGACCCTTAAACCACACGACACATGGGCTGATATAGACAACGGTAAACATTTAATATTTTGAAAATTATTAACTTTAACTTTAATATTATTTTAGATTTCTATAAGAAAGTAACTGATCTCAGATCCAAAGGAGTAAAGGTAGTCTTAGCTCTTGGAGGATGGAACGACTCTTTAGGAAATAAATACTCAAGGCTTGTTAATGATCCTGGTGCAAGATCGAGGTTTATCCAACATGCAATGCAATTTATTGAAAAATGGAATTTCGATGGCTTAGATTTAGATTGGGAGTATCCAAAATGCTGGCAAGTAAGTAACGTTTTCGTTTATGCCGTCTTCAAGCATAACATGACATTTTCCTTTAAGGTTGATTGCAACAAAGGCCCAGCTTCAGACAAACAAGGTTTTGCTGCTTTGGTAACAGAACTGAGCAATGCCTTTAAACCTAAAGGTTTGCTTCTTTCATCTGCTGTATCCCCAAGTAAAGCTGTAATAGATGCAGGATATGACGTGCCAACTTTAAGCAACCATTTCGACTGGATTGCTGTGATGACCTACGACTTCCATGGTCACTGGGACAAACAAACGGGACATGTTGCCCCATTGTATTACTACCCAGGAGATACATATGACTACTTCAACGCTGTAAGTGACCTTTATTATTGCAGTATTTGTTTTAAACACTTTCCTATCAGTGAAATGAATGCCTGTTTTATTTCTTAGAACTTCACAATAAACTACTGGATAGAAAAAGGCGCAAGCCCCAAAAAACTTGTCATGGGAATGCCGCTGTATGGTCAATCGTTTAGTTTGGCAGACACAAGTAAACTTGGTCTTAATGAGAAGACCTATGGGCCTGGCGAGGCCGGTGAATTTACAAGGGCTGGAGGATTTTTGGCTTTCTACGAGGTAAGCTTGATTACAATTTATTTAAAGCAGAGTTTAAGTATGAATTTTTAGATTTGCGAACGCGTTAAACGTGGTGGATGGACAGTAAAGAGAGATCCTTTGGGACGTATTGGACCATATGCTTACAGAGGAAACCAATGGGTTTCATATGATGATGTTTCCGAAATCAAGAGAAAGGTATAACATTAGTGAAATCATTAAATTAGTTTAAACTTCAATCCCTTTTTAGTCCCAACTGGTCAAAGATCTCGGTCTTGGTGGTGGGATGGTTTGGGCTCTGGATCTCGACGACTTCAGAAACAAATGCGGGTGCGGTAAACATCCTCTTCTCAAAGCAATGAACAGAGAACTTAGAGGAATGCCAGCAGGTGAATTTGACGACTGCACATAACAATTGTAACCTCAACATAAGCACATAGGACTGAATTTATCATTTTTAATTTATTTAAGTTTGCTCAGTTAATTTGTGATGCTTGGAAATATTTTTCTTCTTTAGAATGTCGTCGACGTTTTAAAGGATATCAAAATATTTTTTAGGGTTAATTATCTTTCTATGATATTAAATAAAATATGGTATCTATATTAAAAAGTGTTTTATTTTAATCCTGAACGTTACAAACTTGGTACATTTTACGGTATCAATTAATACACTCTAAGTCACTAAAATATAAAGTAAAGTTTTAATAAATAATATTTTTACATATATATGCTCACCTTTGCAAGCAGGGTAACATTGTGGGGGCTGCGGAGAACACATTGATAGAGGCAAGGTGCAAACTACTGATGATGGCCAAATTAACCACAATACCCCAGGTTTTGAAACACAGCAATCGTTTTTTCCTGCCATTTTTGTTTAGTTTAAGGATTTTTGTTACTGGAATTTTGACTTGATTCGAAATAAATTAAATGAATTTGAAGTTTACCTTCTTGATTTTTAAATGAGGTATCTATTATGGTTGCTGGGTACAAGTAAAATCATTATTTACTATTTTGACATATTCGTACAAAGGTTAGAATTTTTTATTGTTCAGTCATAATACCAACCCAACACGAAAAAAATCACAGCTTTCTATTCCACTTTCCCCGTATCTAAGCCCATATCCATAACAACGTATAAACATTTCATTTAATTAATCAGTTTAAATCCATTTCGGCCCAACTTTTAAATTCCAGTAAATTAAACTTAAAAAATAAACTGTATTGAAAATGTCTTGCTGCCCACCTCCATCATGCTGCCCAATGCCCTGTTGCCCCCCCGTCTGTGCGCCATGCTGTACGCCTTGCTGCGTATACGTACCATGCTGCGTACCAATGTGTTTCCCCTGCTGCACCCCGTGTTGCCCCCCTGCTTGCCCACCCCAAGTAAGAATTTAATCCTACAACATGACGCAATTTAATTTAAATATTTTTTACAGTGCTAGCATATGGAGTCCTGGACTTACTGTAGATAACTTTATTAAATGGTATTGTTAATGCATTAAATACAGTTTTTATAAAATACAACAGAGTTTTATTTTTTAAAATTAAATAAAATTAATTTAAGGATACTGCGAAAAATTCTAAAATTTCAATAAATGCACTATTGAATAGTTATTTTTTCAACAATGTGGCCACCAATAAAAACAGTACCTATTGAATAGGTTTACTTTTGAGCAGGCTCCCTTCAAAATTGACATTCGTGAATATGCGACATTAAAACTCAATTCAAAATTTGTTGTTCGTTTTCTCGACCCGATTTAATGTAAATTTCAGTAACATTATTGTTTTGAGTCCAAATTTACGTGTTTCGAAATGTGTTGTACAGCTGAAAACTTTTTAGACCGTCTCGCGGACGTGGTAAACGAATTGAAATGGTAAGATTTTTTCTCATAAAATTGGTGTACCTAATTGCAGTGTTTTTTATGAACAGTGGTCCTCCGCCACCCATCATACCATGCCAAATAGAGCCTCCAATACCATATGTAACATGTTGTATGACAACTCCCCCTCCGATATTGGCCCCCACACAACCCCAACCTGTCAAACCTCTGCAAATGCCTTGCCCTTTTAATGGAGATAGCCAACCTCAGGTAAGAGATAAGCTTTTTATTATAAAAATATGGACACTTTTCCTCATAAAGAAAATGAGTATCTGGGTCATTTTCAAGAAACACCCGCTTTCAGGAAAATGAAGATCAAAATTGTTTTTGCTTAAATTGACTTTTGGTTGGATTTTTATAAATGTTTAGAGTTTTGTTTAGTTGCATTTAAGACAGGCAGTGCACTTTTTATTTTTTTTTAATATGTATATCTCCACTGTGTTACCAATTTGAAATCCAAAATTTAATTCAATAAAAAAAGTAAATATTTTGAAATAAAATGTACTTGGTTCACAAACTTTTGACTCCAATTTTTTATTTTATTTTTTATTAAAAATTGTATCCTTTTTTTAAATATTTATGTTCGTTATGTTACTTTTTAAAAGAAACCATTAATATTTTCTTTTAGTCACTGTATTAGTGAGTTAAACACTAATTTATAAACACGTATTACCAAGTGATAGTGTATAAAAATCATTTTAAGTATTTTTTAACAAAAACTAAAAAAAGTAAAGAAATAGACATTGGTATCACAACGGACTGGGGTACACAAAGGACTTAATCAGATAACGTAAAAAAGAAACTATATAGGGTGGTACGATTTTAGAGTAATGCATAAACAAAATTCCTTGTAGTGGTGCTCACTTGCACAACAACAACTTAGATTTCTAAATTGTAGACACCCTTTTTCTTTGACTATAAGCTGGTGAAGGTCTTGCGTCCCTTTTAGTACTTGTATATTGCGTGGAGTTTTCCCTTGGATGTAATCTATATCATGAGTTGTAATCACAAATAATTTTAAATTGGTTTATCATAAACTACTTTTAATAAAAGCGACGGTAAATATCCAGTTTGTTGTCGAAAAATTCTATTGCGTTACCCCAAATTCCATTGCGTTACCATAAGGTAACATAAGGGACTCGGTAACGCAGTGGACAAAGTTTTGTAAAACCATATTTAAAAAATAATAATAAGACATTACAGTTTCAATGAGCTTTAGTGCCCTAAAATAAACATAAACATGAAAAATAGTATTTTTCTACTACCTTACTGGAAAACTTAATTTTCCACCCTCCGAGCGAGGGAGGAAAATGCCTCTTTTCCTCCCCGGGAGGAAAAAAATTTTCTCCCTCTTTTTTTTAACAATTTTACATTAGCAAGAGTTTTTGTACCTTGTCTAGCCCTATTTGATTTTGTAGGAAAAAGATATACTCCGCGCTTGTCCAATCATTCTTTGAACAAACAGTATTTATTTTCGTATCGCTCTTTCAACCGATATCTTCTTCCTTATTGAATAAATAAATTCAGCTGGGTAATGTGTACGTCCGAACATCATTTGTTGATCACGTGAGTGGAAATAAAGTTGCCATATATATGTTTTTTTAAATATTCTATCGGTAACGCGACGGACGTAACGCAACGGAAAAAATGTCTGGGACATGAGTCAAATTTAAAAAAAGTAGATTTAATTAATTAATTTATATATAAATTGTTTACTTTATTAACTAAGGATGTTATGGATTGCTATAAAGCAAAACAAAGTTCTGGTTATTCAATATTAAAAAAAAACATGTATGTAAGTTTTATAAAACGCTAATGGGACATGCGAAAATGTGTGTTTCACAAGTTTCAAAATTAAAAAAAAAATTATTCTGAAATAACTAAACAAACATTTTTTGAAAGAGTTTACTAAGGGATTGTTAGGCTTTGAATTGGTTTTTAAATCAATAAGATCCGATAATTTTTAACAAAGTTATTGGAATTCAAACTTACGGACAGCGGAAGGCGGGTGTTTTTTGAAAACGACCCATCTACATGTAAATAAAAAATAATATAATATAATAATAAAATACACGCGTTTTTCCTAAAAAACAGGTTTTTATGACGATCTAAAGCAACATCTAGTTGCGAGTGTAGGCAATAGAACTTTGCAATTTTTGTGCCGATGGAAAGAGCAGATTTGATTTAGTGTTAAACGGCATTTTTCATATAAAAAATTAGTGTTAAACTAGTGATAATGTATTGAAATAGCATTATTTAAAGATGTATTATGTTAATAAACTATACAAAAAATAACAGTGGTTTATTTTTATTCTTCCTGCAGATGTCCACAGAGGAGGCCATAACAAAACGTTACTCAAACTTCTACAACAACTACAACGTGGATTATCACGAACAATCGCAGTTGTCGACCTGTCCGGTGAAACCTGTGCGCAGAGTGAGAGGACTGGGCTGCAGAGACTACGCCCTCAAAAAACCTCAACCAGACGAGGAGGACAAGGGGTGCCCCACAGGGTTCAAACCTTGCACCATGAAGATGAAACCGCCCCCTAGTAACCATCCTTGCGGCATTTGGTGCGCCACCATTCAACCGTGCCCGCCCAAAAAGAAGAAGGAGATCCCCTACGATGGTAGCCCGGAGAACTGCAAGAGACCTTGCTGCAAGCATTGGAAGCCCAAGGGGACAGGGGAGTGTATGTACGATTGCCCCTGCAAGGCGCACTGCTTTAATCATCCACCCGGTATCAAACCTGGAAGAAGAGCTGCCGGGTGTTGTCCTCCATTTCCTTGTACTTAATATTTTGTCTTTAGATAATAAATTTGTATAAAATACGATGTTTTTGTTTCAATGAAGGTTCTTTACTATTTTTGCCTTGGTCTCTGTGAAAATAGTTAATCAAATATTACAAATATTCCCCAACACCAAAACAAAACACAAAGTGCTTAAAGTACTTTTCGACAACGATGTTGGCATCTTCAGAAGCGAATCTAACTGCTAAATCTACCATATTTATACTAATTATAAGCTAAGATTGACTGAACCGTGGACCATAACCGCTTTAGTGAACACGTAAAGAGAAACTAACAAACTAATTTATACAAACTAGAGTTGGGTACCGCGGTATACCGGTCCGTTATCGCTATTTAAAGATTTATTTCTATTCTCAAGATGTATAAACTATCTAGCAGACTTGATTCCCTAACTTCCTTAATAGGTTGTCGAACCCTGCTTAAAATAGGATCCATGTTCAAACCGATAGATATTTGTATCGGAATGTATGGTGTTTCTATAGGGTGTATCGGTATGTATAGGACCCATAGTTGGGATTAATGGTTGTTCTATAGGGATATACATCATTAATTATAATTATTTGCTATTTTTTTCATTAGGTAAAATACACATAAATGTAGAAACTAGTTTTTCCCCATAGGACCACATAGGTTTTAATACCATTATTTCAAATGTTTTGAGGTTGCTCTATAGGGATATCCCTATATAATATATAGTATATATCCTTCATTCAGTTATTCTCTATCTGTCTCTATAGGAAAAATGTAAAAGTTATGGTGTGCCTATAGGTAATTTCCTATACATTTTCTATCGGGCCGTATCCGGAAAAAAACCATGGACAAATGCACATATTGAATCCGGTAGCGCCCGATAGATTATGTTGTATAGGTCTCTATGGGGTATTTTAAGCAGGGAATCCTATTCTAGACCATCATT